AGACCCCTGTAGTTTTCCAGTTAAGGGCAGCCAACGGCCTGGAGATCCCATACACTAGCTACGCGGTGTTTGATCTGGAAGTGGAAGGCATCAAAATACCTGGACGAGGAGTTGTGATTATTAAAGATAAACACTGCACCCACCCGCTCCTCATAGGTATGAATGTTGTGACCGCCTGCTGGGAAACACTCTTTCAACGACCTGGAAGGCCAGTTCCCACTCCACAGCAGCTGAAGAACCAGAGAGTTTGGCGGGATGCTTTTGCTACCTGTCGACGTATCGAGGCCACCATGACAGAAGACGGATTCTTGGGAAACGTGCGGCCAGCTACTCGCCAAAATATCCGAGTCCCACCAAAGAGTGAGCTGCTGGTGTGGGGCCGTGCTCGGATGGGCCCGGGAGGAACAGACTACTGTGCCCTGATGGAAGCACTACCTGAAACCAACAATGTTGGCGTAGCTAGGACACTAGCAGTGGTAAGAAATGGGAGAATCCCTGTTCGTGTCTGTAACCCATATCCCTACACCTTGTCAATAGGGCGGAACCAGAAATTGGGTAAGCTGTACCACGTTGATGAAGCTGATGTGCGTGGATCTGTGACTTACCCTATCTTCTGAAAGACAATTGCGTTGTTGAAGTGGCTTTGGTAGATGCAACAGGTAACCACAAGGGACAGGAGCTGCCTGAAGAGGTAAAGAACCTGACTAACCGACTGATCTCTCTAAACAGCAACAGGAGGAGCTATGCACCCTGCTGCTCAAGTGGAAGGACGCGTTTGCTAACCATGATGAAGACTTTGGTCGGACAGACCTGGTACAACACCGTATCCATACGGGTGATGCAGCGCCCATCAGAGAAAGGTACCGACCTCTTCCGCCTCTGATGTATAAGGAAATGAAGAGCCTACTTGTAGAAATGCTTGAGAAGGGGGTAATCAGAGAAAGTTGTAGCCCATGGGCTGCGCCCATAGTTCTGGTGAAGAAGAAGGACGGTAACTGGAGGTTCTGTGTCGACTATAGGAAACTCAATGCCGTAACCCATAAAGATGCCTTTCCCCTTCCAAGAATCGAAGAGACTCTAACAAACCTGACCCGAGCTGAGTGGTTTTCTACCCTTGACCTGGCTAGTGGCTATTGGCAGGTGGAGATGGACCCCCAAGACCGAGAGAAAACTGCCTTTACAACCCCACTTGGACTATTTGAGTTTGAGCGCATGCCTTTTGGCCTCTGTAATGCACCAGCAACATTTCAGCGCCTAATGCAACAGTGTTTAAGTGGCCAAATGGCGGAGTCCCTATTGGTGTATTTGGACGACATCATAATATACTCACCTGATTTTTCCTCTCACCTACAGCATTTGGATGAGGTGATCCAAAGATTGTTGCGGCATGGCCTGAAACTGCGATTGGACAAGTGTAAACTTCTCCAACAAGAAGTAAAGTTTTTGGGCCATGTGGTGGATCATTCTGGGGTAAGACCTGACCCCGATAAAATCTCGTCTGTATCAAACTGGCCTGTCCCGTCCACGATAAGGCAAGTGAGGGCCTTCCTAGGGTTAGCTGGATACTACAGACGCTTTGTATCTGGATTTGCCAAAATTGCACGTCCCCTGAACAACTTGTTGACAGGCATTCCAGCAAATAAAAAGTCTGAGACTCGAAGAGTGCAATGGTCCTCTGAGTGTCAAGCAGCTTTCGATGCCCTAAAGAGGGCTTTGACACAAACCCCTGTTCTGGCATATGCTGACTACACACTTCCTTTTATTGTCTACACCGACGCAAGCAACCAGGGGTTGGGAGCAGTGTTGGCCCAAGCCCAGGAGGGAAGGGAACGTGTAATAGCGTACGCCAGCCGAAGTCTACATCCAACCGAGAAGAATGATGCTAACTACAGTTCGTTTAAACTAGAGCTTCTGGCTCTAAAGTGGGCGGTGACTGAGAAATTCAGAGACTACCTGACTGGAACGCAGTTCACAGTATATACCGACAATAACCCTGTTGCTCACCTGCAGACGGCTCGCCTGGGTGCTGTGGAACAACGCTGGGTCGCTCAGCTGGCTTCTTTCAACTACGACGTTAAGTACCGCCCAGGTAAAAGCAATGCTAATGCAGATGCTCTGTCCAGGTTTCCAGTTGATCCCATCCCACCCAGGGTTGCAGACCAGGAGTGTGAGACAGGAACAGGCGTGACCACGGCAGCCATCGAGCTAAACCCTAGAAGTGAGGACAGTGAGTGGGCTAGCAGTGAATGGGAAGATGCACAAGCCAGTGATCCAGACATACAAGTGGCTAAGAGGTATGTAGAAAACCAGACTCTACCGACGGGACCAGAACGCCGAGCCTTGTCCTGTAGAGCACAGAGATTGTTGCAACAGCGGAAAAGACTTCAAGTTGAAAACAAAGTGTTGTGCCGTAAGGTTACCGATCAGCATACCCATGAAGTATGCTTCCAGGTGGTGTGTCCAAGCTCAAGGTGCGAAGAGGTCTGGAAAAAGGTCCATGAAGCTGCTGCCCATGCTGGTGTGGATCGGACCCTGGCCCGGATACGACAGCATTTCTATTGGCCTGACATGGAGCAAGAGGTACGCCATTTCCATTTGGGTTGTGTTACCTGCAGCCTCCAGAGGAAAAGAGTAGAGCCTAGGGCCCCTCTTAATCCGATAGCTGTGTCATACCCTCTTGAGGTTGTGGGGCTAGACTTCTTGTCCTTAGGTCGGCCAACAGACCGTATTCAAAACATCCTTGTGGCCACGGATTTATTTACACGCTACTCTTGGGCCATCCCCACACATGACCAAACGGCTCAGACAACAGTAAAAGCTCTGTGGACTCATGTAATACAGCCTTTTGGCTGTCCAGCTCGGTTCCATTCTGACCGGGGACCAAATTTTGAGTCTGCGTTGATGAAACAGCTCTGTGATACTTATGGTATAACTAAAAGCCGCACAACGCCGTACCATCCTGCAGGAAACGGTGGGGCAGAACGCTTCAACCAGACCTTGTTAAACATGCTCCGCTCTCTAGAAACAGAAGCAAAACCGTTGGCCAGAATACTTGCTTGAGTTGGTACATGCTTACAATAATACAATACACAGTGCAACCAGCTACACTCCCTCCTTTCTTATGTTTGGGAGGCATCTGAGGCTTCCTGTGCATGTGGGACTTGGTGTCGGTCCCCAGCAACTACGCCATGACATTGGTGGTTGGATACTAGACCACCAACAGAGACTTTCACTAGCGTATTGTATAGCTAGACAGAAAATGGATAACGCAGCCTCCCAAAGCAAACAACACTACGACAAAAGGGCTAAAGCTACGCCACTCTTACCCGGAGAGAGAGTATGGGTACGCAACAGAAATCGACGAGGTCAAGGAAAATTGTGTACTTGGTGGGACCCTGAACAATTTGTTATTGTTGAAATAGTGGGCAATACAGGGTTGGTGTATAGGATAAAACCTGAGAAGGGGGGCCGTGAAAGAACTGTACATAGAAATGCTTTAAAAGTCTGCTTAGCTCCCCCAATAGACCCCAACCCACGGACCAATGGGCCCGCAGCAGAGACACACTGGCTCCAAGGTACAGCGTTCTATGGGTTTGCTCCAGCCCCAGTGGTGGTCCCGGCGCAGGAGCAGGGACCAGAAGTAGCGCCACGACGCTCAAACAGGACTAACCTCGGCCAGCCACCTGCTCGTTATAGGGAAATTTAGGTATTCATGTTGCAGGGACTGCCAACATTAAAGAGTGGAGGGATGTCACCAGGTGGACATTGTGGTTTCTGTAAATTATTGGTTTTGCATTTTAGCATGGCTTGTTTTTACATTTTAGCGTGGCTTGTTTTATTACATTTTAGCGTGGCTTGTTTTATAACCTTTTAGCATGGCTTGTCTTTACATTTTAGCGTGGGTTGTTTTATTACATTTTTGCATGGTTTGTTTTATTACATTTTTTACATATTAACCCACCTTTCTGTAAATTACATGCACCTGGAGGGACTAATCAATTACAGAGAGCCCTGGCCAACCACATTACACAATGAAAGGACCTCCCCTCTCCAATTAACACAGCTGCTATAAAGGCCCCAGAGGAGGAAGGCCACGGCAGAGGAAGGCCACAGGAGGGGAAGCCACAGAAAGGTGAAGCCACGGCCAGGAGAAGCCACGGGAAATTGAGCGAGAGGGCGGCCAGACAACGGACGAGCAGACAGGGTGCAACGGGGAGAGGAACGAAACGGACTGGACACCTCACCCAGGAAAGGAACGGAACCGGAAACAAGAAGAAAGGGCAAGACTGACCAGCAGCAGTGGCTGGTCAAATTCTTAAATCCTTTTAGTACCTTGTTCCAACTGGACTTTTAATATTGTAGTTATTTATGGGTTTTAGTTAATAATAAAATCCTCCTTTTAAACCACGCTTTTAAGTCTTGTGATCCATGCTGTTCTTCCTCTGGTGAACAAGAACCTGTTTTATGGAGACCTAGACTCCGCAACTAGGTGGCGTTGCTGGTACCTTTTTATAAATTTATCATCTTTTTATTACATTTTAATTCCCCCGCCTCACAGGGCTGACAGCTAAACTAGTTGGACCTCATATAATTGACACAACTGTAAGAAATAGAAGCTTAATTGAAACCTGATTAGTGCTACATGGAGCCCAAGACCTGGAAAAAAAAATACAAAAATATAATAATTCTGTCTAAGACCACAACAACTCGAGGAGCATGTTTTGCTCAAACTTTATTGGAATTTAAATAGACCTCCAAACTGAGGTAGTGATATTCAAGACACACCCTGGCCTGCAAACCTACCAGGACATTATTAAGGAGTGTGTTTGGAGGAGATAAATAGACTGCAAAGTGCTTATCTGTCTGTGTGTGAGTGAGAGAGAGAGAGCGAGAGAGAGCGTGAGTGAATGAGAAAAAGAGAGAGAGGGAGAGAGAAGTATGATTGTCCATAATTCTGTTCAAAAACTGCTGCACTAGACAGTCTCTCGCAGGCTGCTGAGGCTGGGAGTGCGGTGTTAAGCCTCAGTGAAAAGGTTGCAAACTGCCGGGAAAGACTGAAGTATTTCTACTCGATCACCTCGGCATCCAAGGTGAGTCTCAAGCTGTTAGGCATTTTCTTGGGGACTGGTCTGTTTGATTGCTGAAGCGTCTTTCAAGTGACTTTTGATATAGGATTCGTCACTTGTCCAGCACCTCTTGAATTCGGGGACTAGAATTGGTGCGGCGATCAGCTCTGGATCTTTAGTGCACTGCAAACAGCTGTAATGGCCCCTTCTCCTTGTTCCCTTGCAATTCTCACAATCCTGTCCACTGCTAAGAAGAGTGAGTTCCACCTCGTTGCATTTGGCCTCAAGAGCTGGAGTTTGCAATTCTCTTCAATGATCTCAGCTGCCGTCGTGGATCTTGCGCGCGATCTCCGCCTATGCTATACAGGCCACCTTAACGCACCTTGACTAAATTGTCTTTAAAAACATTAGATTTAGGTTTAAAGTAAAAAAAATTAACTTTTCGAGAGGCCAGCATGCTTCAGCCAATCAAATTGCCTTTCATGCAAATAAGACAGCACAGGCGCCAACCAGATCGCGTTGATGCTCACGTCTAAAGAGCGCAAAGTGAAGAAAAAAAAAGGCGGACCAAACTCCGTAAATCAGCGTATTTGTACCTAAGTTTTTAGTTTTTTTTGCCTAGATTTTTTGAGAATTACCGAGAAATAGACGCTGTACAATATAAAAATCCCATTATTGTAACTGAAAAATACGTCTGAGAGGATCTAAGGTTAGCATGCTACTAGCCAATAGCCATTAGCAATTCCTCCTTTATGCTGCTTTAAAATGCGTTGATGAATTGAAAAGAATTGGACATTTCATCAATGTCGCATTCAAACCAACAGGACAGCTCAAAACAAATGTTTGTGATACATTTTTCATCTCCCAGAACAATCACAACCCTTTACTAACACATTTCCTATGGGAAACACTGGTACATGAACTGAATATTAAATAGCCTAATATTAGCTTACTACTGTGTACAGCTCATTTTTCAAATATTACAGAGCGCTAACTAGGTTAACTTGTAACTTAGGATTCCTCAGTAGGCAACTGCTAGCAAGCAAACCAAGGCATGTTGGCATGTTGCTATGCTAGCTAAGCTGTAGCAAGCATTGTAAATCAACCATTATCTACTAGCCTGTTTTAAAAATGTATGGAGCAGAAAGTACAGATAATTGTGTTAAAATGTAAAAGTAAAAAGTTGGCATAAAAATAAATACTTAAGTTGAAATTTTAGGTATCTTTACTTTACTCAAGTACAGTAACGACAAAAGTATTTGTACTTTGTTACTTGACACCTCTGGGAATTGCCCCATGTGTCAAACAGAAGGGGAGTGAGTGGCAAACGGACCACTTAAAGCACTGCTGGGCTAAGCCAGCTGCTATGCTACTTCCATCTCAACGTCTAACGTCACCCACACAGTCTGCGGAGGACCACCACTCGGTCCCTAAGAGACCGTGGTTTGAACATGTTTTGGCTAAATGTGGGGAGATTGTTGGCAGCTCAAACACAGCAGTTAAATGATGGAGAGTTGATGTAGAGCCAAACAGGAAGAGCCGCTAGTTCAACATGATCCACCCGCTGGAATTCTGCCTCCAAGATGATCAAATGTGTGTAGTTTTATGTTTACAATAACATAAACAATTAAACAGTATCTAAAATACACGCTTTCGTCGTGCATTCTCAACATTTTCAGCAATGTTTGACTGTGACAAATCGGGGACAGCTGCTGCTGTGACGTAAACACGCACGCGTAGGGAAACCAGTATGTTTAAGAACCAGTTGGGGTGTATCATCGGTTCGAAATGTTGTCCAATATGAAACCGGTCTGCGTGGCAAAAAATGTTGGGGAACGCTGATCTAAATGAGATGCTACGTCTTTATCACCAAGTAAACAGAGTGCAGCGTGCTGCTCTTTATATCTTTATATTATGGGATGTTTATGCAAGATTGGTGACCCTCAAAAACCAAACTATTACCGCATAACGCAACGTTATATGGTACAACCCCACTGGTTTCATATTAAAACTATTTATGAAAACTACACGTAACTAAACGTTTTTCTTCTCTTCCACAACATGTGTAGACATGGCTTCTGCAAACTATGGTCCATCTGAAGATCAGTTCCTGTGCTCCATCTGTCTGGATGTGTTCACTGATCCAGTCTCCACACCATGTGGACACAACTTCTGCATAAACTGCATCAATGAACACTGGAACACCAGCGACCAGAACCTGTGTCCAACGTGTAACAAGGACTTCATCACCAGACCTGATTTGAGGGTCAACACCTTCATCTCTGAGATGGTTGTTCAGTTCAGACAGTCTGCTCAGCAGAAAGCCAGCAGCAGCAGCAGCTCAGAGCAACAAGAGTCCAAACCAGGAGAAGTTCCCTGTGACGTCTGCACTGGAACCAAAGTGAAGGCCCTCAAGTCCTGCCTGGTGTGTCTGGCCTCCTACTGTGAGACTCACCTGGAGCCTCATCTGACTATGTCAGGTCTGAAGAGACATCAGCTGATGGACCCTGTGGAGAACCTGGAAGGCAGGATGTGTACAAAGCACGATAAACCTCTGGAGCTGTTCTGTAAGAGCGACCAGACGTGTGTCTGCATGCTCTGCACTGTTTTAGACCACAAGATGCATGATGTTGTTCCTCTGAAAGAAGAATATGAAGAAAAGAAGGTCGAGCTGAAGAAGAACGAGGCTGAAATTCAGCAGATGATCCAGAAGAGAAGAGTGAAGATTCAGGAGATCAAACACTCGGTCGACCTCAGTGAGGAAGATGCAGGCAGAGAGAAAGCAGAAGGTGTTCAGGTCTTCACTGATCTGATGGAGTCTGTTGAAAGAGGCTTGAAGGAGTTCCTCAAAACAATAGAAGAGAAGCAGGAAACCACAAAGAAACAGGCTGAAGCTTTCATCAGAGAGCTGGAAGAGGAAATCTCTGAGCTGATGAAGAGGAGCGCTGAGGTGGAGCAGCTCTCTCTCTCTGAAGACCACCTCCATCTTCTCCAGTCCTCAAACATCCATCAGCCACCACCCACCAAGGACTGGACAGAGATCAGTGTTTGTCCTTCATATGAGGGGACTGTGGTGAGAGCTGTGTCTCAGCTGGAGGAGACACTCAGTAAGAAGATGAAGAAGTGGTTTGCTGAGATGAAGATGGTCCAGATGAAGATGGTCCAGAAGTTTGCAGTGGATCTGACTCTTGATCCTGAAACAGCTCATCCTGAACTCATCCTGTCTGACGATGGGAAACAAGTGAAACACGGTGATGTGAAGAAGAAGAAGCTCCCAAACAACCCAGAGAGATTTTCTTATTGGTTCTGTGTTTTAACAAAGCAGAGTTTCTCTTCAGGCAGATTCTACTTTGAGGTTCAGGTTGAAGGAAAGACTGAGTGGTATTTAGGAGTGAACAGAGAGTCAGTCAACAGGAAGAAAATCATCTCACTGAGTCCTCAGAATGGTTACTGGATCATATGGTTGATAAATGGAAATGAATACAAAGCTCTTGATGATCCTCCAGTTGTTCTCTCTGTGACGTCTGGTCCTCAGAAGGTGGGGGTGTTTGTGGACTATGAGGAGGGTGTGATCTCCTTTTATGACGTAGACGCTGCAGCTCTCATCTACTCCTTCACTGGCTGCTCCTTCACTGAGAAGCTCTTCCCGTTCTTCAATCCTGGTTTTTATAACGATGAAAGTAACTCTGCTCCTCTGATCATCTCTCCTATCAGAGTAAACTAATCATTCTCAAAATTCATGTGTTGATTTTATTGATTAAATGGAATTGTTTAAAAACTCTCACTCTACACGGCGTAAAATCATCAAAACAGGATATTTAATGTTTGCAAACAAGAGGCCGAGATGACGCACATATTCAATTCAATTCAATTCATTTTATTTTGTATAGCCCATAATCGCAAATTACAAATTTGCCTCAGAGGGCTTTACAGTCTGTACACATACGACATCCTCTGCCCCTCTGACGTTCGCTATTGAAATGCTGTCACACATGGATACATGCGAAACGTTTGTGTAACATGTGCAACTAAACTTTTTATATCTTTGTAATCATATGGGTGAGATTCAGTTATGAACGTGCGTGCGTGCATAAGATACAGAGTATGTACTGTGACTCACTCGTGTGTGTGAGAGCATTTCAATAACGAATGTAGGAGCGTCTCAGCAGTGTTAGTAGCAGCTAAGTCCTAAACGGCTCCTCATAATTTCTTGCGTCCGATTTGAGACAGATGTCCACAGCGTGAAAGCGATTCTCTTCTGATCGACGCGTCTTCTCAGCAGGAGAGAGCAGAGCGCGAGATGAAGACGGAGCGCGTGAGTTTGTCGTCAGCGTCGCCTGTTACCTAACAGCCGGTTACGTAAAAGCAAAGCGGAAGAACTGCAGAGAGAAGAGGACTATATTTAGGTTGTGCTGTGCAGTCCATTCATTCATTTTCGTATTATAATATTCTTAATTACATCAGAACTGGTTCATTCTGCGCCGGCATGAATGTTGTTCAGATGCTGACCCGTGGAAAACACAGAATACAAAGATATCTTTACAATGTTACTCCCAGCTGAATAAAATGTTAAATGTTAAATTATGTTTTCTCCAAATAATGAGGCTTAACATTTTTTTTGTTTTTGCTAAATGCAAACACTTAGATCGCTGTTTCTTTCTGCCACAAAACCCATCCCCCGGTATCCGTCTGACGTCGGCGTTTAAAAGCCGGTATCGGTCGGAGCCGGCGGTGTGACGCCGGCGTGACACAGCGTGTGTGCGTGTGCGGTGGGAGGAGCCACGGATCGGAGTCTACCTCTCTCTCCTTCCAGATCCATCTCTCCGTCCTCCTCTCCTCTCTGCAGCATCCTTCCTCCCGCTCAGCCAATCCCCTGCTGGGGAGCGTGGTCACGTGACCAACAGCCCCCAATAGCTCTCCACCAGGCACCGGCAAAAAGAGGGGCGGTGTCCCTCCTGCTCCTCCACCTCCTCCTCCTCCTCCTCTTCTCTGTGAATCAGACGCCGAGTCGCTCGGGTGTGAAGGATCCGTCTAACGAGCCGCGACACGTTCCTTCTTCTTCTTCTCCTCCCGGAGGTCAGGGGCTGCTGCTCGGCCCTCAACGTCCTCACCCTTCCCTCCCGCTCCCGGGGAACACAGAGGGGGGATGAATGGGGAGGCGATGGAGGGGATCCCGGCACCGGAGCAGCAGCAGCAGCAGCAGCAGCAGCATGCCGGCAACGGCACACACCTCCCTCCTCCTCCCACCATCACGCCGGCCATCCCCCCCTACGTGAAGCTGGGCCTGACCATCGCCTACACCATCTTCTACTCGCTGCTCTTCGCCTTCGTCTACGCCCAGCTGTGGCTGGTGCTGCGGTACCGCCACAAGCGCTTCAGCTACCAGACGGCCTTCCTGTTCCTGTGTCTGCTGTGGGCCGCCCTGCGCGCCCTCCTCTTCTCCTTCTACTTCAGGGACTGTGTGACCGCCAACGCACTCGGGCCCTTCGCCTTCTGGCTGCTCTACTGCTTCCCCGTCTGCCTGCAGTTCTTCACGCTAAGCCTGATGAACCTCTACTGCGCACAGGTGAGGAGGAGGAGGAGGAGGAGGAGGAGGAGGAGGAGGAGGAGGAGGAGGGTGGAGGTGTGGGTAGGCGGGGGACACACATGCTGGCACCTGTGGAGGAGACGCTGGTGAGACTGGAAAGATGAAGGGAAATAGTTTTCTCTGAAAGGGCCCCATCGGGTCCACGCGCTTCTCTCTGCAGTGAGGTGGAGGTGTACCACAAGGTGTGTCTGTACACAGATTTTCCGTTACCCAGGGCTTACTCAGGGTGAGGCGCGGCCATCTTTGGGCCGGCTTTGTCACATAGGACCTCGATCGCTCTCGACGGGCGCATTGAGGTCAAAGAAAACAAATGATTTAGCAAACGGCCGTTTTAAAATGCCGTCACATCTGAAAAGAGCCCAAATGAATACTGCAAGGCAACTGATTTTTCTAAAGGCAAATTTTTGAAGCGGTTTCCAGTGGAATCCAGATCCAAAAGTTTTCAAAAAAGATACAAAATAAATCAGGCTGAGACTCTGGCAAATGGTCCAGCCGGCCAGGTTCCAAAACCTCTGATTTCCATCTCTTCAGACGTGCTGTTGGGATCATTTGCAGCTGTTTCTGTATCAAGAAGGTCTTTGTTGGGGCCATTGTGAAGAGGCTCGGTTCCAGTTCACCAACACTCTTTGACCCACGTGAAGATTCTCTGTCCTCAGTGATAACCTTCGTTCTTCCCATCGAGGGACATTCAGAGCTCTGAATTACTGAACAAACCACGAGTGGAGATGCAGAAGTCTGCAGCTGAAGGGGTCTAATATGTCTTTTATCTTTGCCCCCCCCCCCCCACCCCAGGTCTACTTTAAGGCCAAGTCCAAGTACACACCTGCACTCCTCAAGTACAGGTAACCTCTTCCTCCAACTCTCTCTGACTGAATATCTCAAGCACCTATACAGCTCATATTATTCATAAAGTTCCAATGTTTAAAATGCACCCTCCCCCGTCTGCCGCAGACTTCCTCTGTACCTGGTGTTCTTGGGCGTCAGCCTCCTCTTCCTGGTGGTGAACCTGGTCTGTGCCCTGCTGGTCAAAATGACCGCCGCCGACGTGAAGACCATCGTCCTGGTGAGGGTCACCATCAACGACAGCCTGTTCGTCCTCTGCGCCGTCTCGCTGTCCGTCTGCCTCTACAAGGTCGCCAAGATGTCGCTGGCTAACATCTACCTGGAGTCAAAGGTAACGTTCCTCCTGGAGGGAAAAGACACCCTAACGGAGAGGTCAATGGAATCGAAATGAATGATAATGAGCGACACCTGTGTGTGTGTGTGTGTGTGTGCAGGGCACGTCGGTGTGCCAGGTGACCTTGATCGGCATCATGGTGGTTCTGCTGTACTCCTCGCGGGCCTGCTACAACCTGGTGGTGCTCGCCCTCGCCAACATCGAGGCCATCAACTCCTTTGACTACGACTGGTACAACGTCTCGGACCAGGTGAGGGTCCTCTGGTTCTTTCAGTCTGGAGTTTAAAAAAAGTATGAGAGCCTTTACTCGAACAAGAAGGCCGGCATTAGAAAGTTTGATCAGTTAATTGTACCTGCAGGCGGACCTTCGGTCGTCGCTGGGAGACGCCGGTTACATCGTGTTCGGGGTGATTCTGTTCGTCTGGGAGCTGCTGCCGACATCGCTGGTCGTCTTCTTCTTCAGGGTCCGCCGGCCGCCTCAGGAACGGGTCGGTGCCGCTGGCGGTCGGTCCGCGGTGAAATGTCTCGACAAACATTGGACGGAGCGTCATTCACTCTTGTCTTGTCTTTGTCTCCGCAGAGCACCGCTGGGATACCGAACCACGTGCTCTCCTCCAGAGGATACTTCTTTGACAACCCCCGACGGTACGACAGTGACGACGACCTGGCGTGGAGCATTCCTCCCCAGAATGCATCAGCCAGGTATATTTTTCTTTTTCAAATCCATTTGGACGAAGCGGCTATGATCAATATTCGTATCGATAATCACAACGATGCTTTGTTAACTGGCGGTTTCTCTCCGGCAGCCTCAACTCCGACTGCTACGACTGGGGCAGCCGCCACAGCAGCTTCACGGTGCACACCAACGGCGACGAGCAGCGCCTGACCGCCGGGGAGCTCCACCCTTACCCATAATCCCCCTCTCCACTGTACAGCGTCACTCTGCACTTTGACACCGATCGGTTGTTGTCGTAGACTTTAGACGAAATGCCAGAATGCTCAGCGGGGTTCCTTCACGCAGAGTCGGGATCACGAGTGTCTCAAACAAACTCGTCCAAAAAACATGCTGCGATGTGTGATCCTTAAACACCACAAAGGTGAAACTACAGAAAGAAGAAAGAAAAGATCAGGAAGCATCTTCTGGGGAATAAACCCGCACAATCTATCAGGGAGACATAGGAATCAAATAAGTGAAAACTTGGCGTCAGAAGAGCACTCGAGGTTTATCTTCTGGGGAACATTGAAGATGAATGTTGAGGCAATCCATCAGGTAGATCTGGGAATTATGTTATTGGATAAGTGAAAACTTTGACCTGCTGGTGTCAGAAGATCATCGGAGCCTCTGGGGAACGTGAATATCCATTCACCATTTAATCACAATCAGCTCAAAGCTGTCGACGCCATTTAATGAATTGATCGGTTTTTGTCAGTACTGAAAAACCAGAGTGGAGCACAGAGGTAAATTAAGAAATACCAACTATTATTCGGATCCTTCCAACCTATCAGGTGTTTTTGATCTCCATGTTTGATGACAAGTGATCCATGACTTTGTGCAGGAGCCCTCCTTCAGCGAGACCATGTGTAATGAATGTTTAGAGAATGTTTCTCAATTATTTGAGTGTTTCCGAGGACAGTTATTCGGGTCGACAAATTATTCTGCTACAATTATTTTTGCTGGAAATAATTTCGTAAAGAGATGCGAGATATCAGCGACTAGACAGATCATCTGACATATTCATTTGGTCTAGTTTTTAAAAAGTGAATACGTTTTATTTTCCTGCCCCGAATAATCCTTGAGTCATTTCTTGAGGTCACTGTAAAGTAAAATGAAATAAATCGAAACACACAGACACATCAACGTAATCAATACCCTGTAGATATCAATAACCAGATGGCTCAACACCTCTGTGTTGTTTTACTGTTCACCTCAAAAGATCTGCGTATTAACCTCCATTCAAAAGATTGGTTTTAATTTGACTAATATCTTTGTGAACATTCGATAACTGTTAAATTATTATTCTTTGAGTTTTGATGCATTTTGGATTTTCAAAAGTAATAATTAACATATTTAAAAAACTCTGCAAAGTAACAAAACCATCATAACTGTGGAATCCTTTAGAGAAGAAATAATGTGGAAAACCTTTTGTTAATATGAGCTTTGTTTTGCAGTGTTCACATTTGTGCTACAATCTTCAGAAGAAGAAAAGTCTATATTTCTAAGACGTATGTTTTGTAAGTTATTTGTACAGAGTCTCACTGAGATTGTGTGTTTTGTTGTTGAGCTTTTTTTGTGTTGGTGGTTTGTGTGTTTGTGACGTGACAACACAAAAAGATCCTAATTAAAATAATCATCAAAAAAGACGTGGGTTAATTTAATTATTTCTTGAACACAAAGGGAAATTCTGGCATTTCATTCCATGTTTTCTATTTAACTCACAAGTTGGAACAACAATTTGTGAAAGAGCCTCTTCTCATCAAAAAAACCCAATCATGGATGAATATTTAGATAATATTCTATCTATTTAGATTTCTGTTTCCTTGTTGTCAGACAACAATCGGAGTCATTGTCAAAACGAAGCACTTTCAGTGGAATTAATATGTGACATCCTACACTTGTAACACCTGGGACACCGGGGACAAATATCATGAGGGTCACCTGACGTTTAAGACAAACCAAACCGTTTAAAAAACTGTTGAAAATTGAGCGAGTTCTGGTTATTTAAAAGGTTCATGTTTCACTACCAACACAATGTTATGGTGAGCGAGCTGACCCTACCAAGATGGCCGCCATGTGCAGACGGCAACACGGACGAGACATCACGCCTTTATATATATCTATGGAGGAAACAAACCTCACCTGCTGATGACGCTCCAGTAGGAGGCGGAGCTACACGGAGGGGCGGAGCTTCTACGTCACTGTCCAGAAATGAAAGTTCGTTGGTCAGAGAGGCAGACGCGCTGCAGTGAAGACAAGTCTCCGTGTTTCTCTGAGAGAAAAGTCAAAGTGACGTCATCAGGTGTTCCTCAGCAACACAGCAGAGTCTCTTCAGAACACTGGTGAGTACAGCTGGTCACATTTACACCTTCAACAAGCAGGAAGAACACACAACTTGTACTTTACTCAGGCAGGAAGTTCCTCTCTGTTCACTTCCTACTTGATAGAATGTTAACAATAAAACCACGTGTGTTTATCCACAGTCCCACGATACAGTAACTCAGTCTAACAGCTTCAAACTGTCCAGGACTTCAGTCACTTGGACCTGAATCTCTGTGCTTTAAACTTTAGTGTCTCTCTGTTTCCTGATCCCTTCCTCTGTTTCCTCTTGGTGGATCAAGTTAAACGTGTTCCACAGTGAACCTGCTGGAGGCTTTTAGTGTAAGTCTTCTAAATGAGACGCTACGTGTTTGACACCAAGTAAGCAGAGCGTTGTTAGCGTGCTGCTCTTTATTCACAGCATGTGGACACGTTCTGGACTGGTTTCAAGATAAAACTATTCATGAAAACTATTTTAAATAAAACGTTTTTCTTCTCTTCCACAACATGTGTAGACATGGCTTCTGCAAACTATGGTCCATCTGAAGATCAGTTCCTGTGCTCCATCTGTCTGGATGTGTTCACTGATCCAGTCACCACACCATGTGGACACAACTTCTGCATAAACTGCATCAATGAACACTGGAACACCAGCGACCAGAACCTGTGTCCAATGTGTAAGAAGGACTTCATCACCAGACCTGATTTGAGGGTCAACACCTTCATCTCTGAGATGGTTGTTCAGTTCAGACAGTCTGCTCAGCAGAAAGCCAGCAGCAGCAGCTCAGAGCAACAAGAGTCCAAACCAGGAGAAGTTCCCTGTGACGTCTGCACTGGAACCAAAGTGAAGGCCCTCAAGTCCTGCCTGGTGTGTCTGTTCTCCTACTGTGAGACTCACCTGGAGCCTCATCTGACAGTTTCACGCCTGAAGAGACATCAGCTGATGGACCCTGTGGAGAACCTGGAAGGCAGGATGTGTACGAAGCACGATAAACCTCTGGAGCTGTTCTGTAAGAGCGACCAGACGTGTGTCTGCGCGCTCTGCACTATTTTAGACCACAAGAACCATGAGTATGTTCCTCTGGAAGAAGAATATGAAGAAAAGAAGGTCGAGCTGAAGAAGAAAGAGGCTGAAATCCAGCAGATGATCCAGAAGAGAAGAGTGAAGATTCAGGAGATCAAACACTCGGTCGACCTCAGTGAGGAAGATGCAGGCAGAGAGAAAGCAGAAGGTATTCAGGTCTTCACTGATCTGATGAGTCTGTTGGAAGAGGCTTGAAGGAGCTCCTCAAAACCATAGAAGAGAAGCAGG